ATGTACCCCCTGAGAAGTACAAATGTACCCCAGATTGGAAATGTCTGTCTTACAGTCTTATTCAGATTTAGAAGTTACAGCTTTTGTAATGTGTAGTTTTTGTTTGATGTAGATGTTTCCTTTTTCCATCTTGTATTTAGGGGTTCACAGATTAAGAATTTCTTTGCTGATATTAATAACAAGTGATTACCCACCCACATTGCCAGATACTGCATTAGTATTAGTGCAAGTATGGTACTCTAAATTATGGAATGAATTAAAATTTAACTTTTAAGTGACTTTTTTCTAATTGCATTGATATAAAAATTCACAAATATATATTTGGTGCATCTTGTTCAGAAAATGAATAAGTCAAAAACTTTAAAAAAATACTTTGTGTTAGTGCTTCTAGAAACAGCAAAATAAAAACACACACATATTAACTTTTGAATTGTAACTGTAACTTTCGTTAATTTATAATAAAAAGTTTATACATGTAAATATAATTATTAACTTCACCACCAAAATGTAACATAAACATACTCAATTTATTTTATAAGATTCAGTCTATCAATTTTGCTACTTCAGAATTAAAGGCAGTGAGGTAAATTGATATTATGCAACCCTAGACTCTGTGTTCTGCATCAGCCACAACATGCTGCACATGTTTTGTAGACAAAGATATCAGATTAGAAGTTTAGTATTATCTATATCAGTTTCACCTCGAATGATGACATGAAAAATTATAATTTGGTGTATTTATAAAAATAATTTTATTATTGAACAGTTGGTTTAAATTAACCTCCAAATGTTTTATAATTTTAAGAAACTAACACAATACATTACTGTACTATTTTAACAAGTTTAACCTGAAGATCAGTATTAAAAAAACTTGGAAACATTGAAATTGATGACCATACAAATCACTGCATAGCTAAATAGCATTTCAGAGAATCTTTTGTCTCTCATCATCCAGCTGAACAACAAGTCCTTGTACTGAACAAAATGTTTCTTAAGCAATGACAAGGGACAAATCTGAAATGGTATTTTTTAATCACCTCTGATTTTAAATCAACAACGAACAAATTAAGAGGTATGTGGGATAAAAAACATCTGAAGTTAATGTGATTTTCCTCACAAATTTTAGGCCTAATATTATTTACATAGTTTATCATGTTAGAAGTCTGAAAGTACATTGCATTTAACTCTATTGGTTGTCACATTTTGCTGGTTGAATATGTCTGTAAATTCTGTCTAGTAAACATTATGTTTGAGTTTCAGACCAGTAATGGATTTTAAAATGGAAAAAGCGTTTACATCTTTAGAAGGAATGACACAAGAAATGTTTATGTGAGTAATGTTTTCAGTATAGTTGTAAATTATATAACATAGTATCTAATCTAGATTTTGGACAAATAGCAGACTGAACTTTATTTTTTAACCTTTTTTCTAGTAAACTTCTAGTTTCAGTTTTTAACACTAAAAGATAGAGACAAGCTTACCTTCTAGCTGTATTTTAGAAAGATGGAGATTTTCTAGTTGTACTTGAGTCAACTCTGTTAGAATTACTCTTAGCTCACCAACAGTCAAACTTTTTGGAAAACCTCTAGTTATCTCCTGTGACATTCCATCAGGTTGCACACATGTTACATTTAACAAAATTGGTTCATGAAAGCTGCCGATTAATGGAATTTCTCCATTTACCTAAATATTGATAAAGACAAAACACAAAACTTTTATTCATTAAAAGTAACCTTATAGAGAATTTCTAAGATTTGTTGTTTGGTCTTAAATGATGTAAATTCCTCACTAGAATACTTTGTTCACCCTTACAGGTAGTTATTATATCAACAAAGCACAAATTACTGCTAAAGCCACTTTATTTACTTTATATTTCTTTAGATATAATACAATCATTTTTGGTTGTTGGCTCTGGTTATTTTCAAAGCACAGCTTCATTAGTAATTGTTTAGACGACATGTTGTGATATCATAAAATGGTGGAAACAAAGGGCTGTAGTAATAAAACCAATGATAGGGAAGGAAAATCACATGAAAACCAAGACATGGTTCTTGAAGGAACAATAGTTTCTTTGCAAGTATAAACCTGTAATTTGGGATAGAAGAAAAATTGCCAAAAAATTGTTAAATGCATTGTTTATCTCTCAAATGCTTGAGCGTGTTGATCCAACACATCTGTTGCATACTCTTTGGTGAAACAAAACTTGGTTGAATGCAAAATGATTTAACTAATTCTACCTCATTTTTTTAAAAAAAAATTTCCTTCCCTACCATACAGCAAAATCATAATTTAAGTATAAAAAGATAGAGCAAGTTTTCTGGAAGTTGTTTACAAACATCCTTTCTTCTAGAAACATACCACAAAGCTAAGCTTTTATCACTTTGTTCAGATCTTTACATGAAGCACTGCTGAACTGGAAGCCATACTGACTTATACAGTTGAAAAGAACAGAAAAAAGCTTTCATTACATGTTTAGAACACTAGCCTATGGCTTCTCAAACCTGATATCTAGGTGATTATATCACACACCATGACAAAAACAGTCACTAGGTAAAATCAATAAAACTACACTTGTATTGAAGCAGAAAGATTAAATTAACATATTTTGATCTTCCTTCTAATAATCTCAGAAAAATTTCAGGAAATTCAGAAACACTAATGTTTTAATTCAGATTGCACTGAAATTAACCCAATATCGAATTTGGGATTTTTATTATATTTTAATGCATAAAATTAAATAAATGAAATTTTTTTATTGAATAAATTTTAAAGGTATGTTGTTGTTGTTTTTTATTAAGCACAAAGCTACACAAAGGGCTATCTGTGCTCTGCCCACCATGTGTCTATTTTTCCAACAAAAATTAAACCTTACTATCATTATTTTTGACTGTGGACTTAATGCTGAGATGGATGACATACAAGTTTGAAAGAAAACTATCAATACGATTTGAATCTTTAAAAAATGTCATCCAAATCATAAATCCACAGATTGGAGGAAGTAGGGAAGTGGAAATAGCAACTTCTTGATCATCAATATGTTGGCTGAAACAGGTGGAACTGGATTTTTCATATGGTCATAATTAACATCTTGAAATTTAGCACAAATTACTGCAGACTGAAATAATTCTTTGATAACAGAAACATCTAAATGGGATCTGGGATGAGAGTCATTCTTGTAACATTCCAATGTACAGTTAATAACTCTCTCTGAATCAGCACACATAATTTTTTTTCAAAAGAAAACGTTTTTAAACATATTTACTTGGTCAACCATAAATAAATAATTTAAATCATTTAGTTTGACAAGTTCTTCCTGTAAATTAATAAAACTGGCTATAGATGAATATACATTTTTTGGAAATACAAAAACAATAAAAAGAAACAAATGCACAGACAAATAATTAAGTACTTTTCTGAGATACAAGTTTGATAACTTAAAAACATGAATTGTTTGTGTTAAACACAAAGCTATACAATCAACTATCTGTATTGTGACCACCACAACCCCAATATTTGGCATTATAAGCCCACAAGCATATTGCTGAGCTTAAAAAGAGGAATAAAGAATGATTAGAGCATTAAGCAATATTGAGATGTACATAGACCAACATAATATACACTTACCAAGCTATTTGATCCAAAAAAGTACAAATGAATGTCTCATATTTCATTTTGGTTACGTGTTGCATAAAATGAAAAACTGGGTATTTCAACTAATAAATTTTCAAATTTAATTTCATAAAGTTACTAAGGTGAGCATAAACTATATTGGGAATAAGCAAATACACAATCATGAACATTTTAAGAAATTTTAAGCAGTAATTATCTGAGCCTAAATTCTTCTCCAGGTAATCATCAATATCTGTGATACTAGCAGAAAACTGCAAAATATTTGCAGTCAAATTAGTATCTTTATTGCAACAGTACTTCTTTTAATACAGGAATTTCTAGAATAATTCAAAATAATTCTAATTGCAAATACTGAAATCTATAAGACCACTTGTCTCATGTCTAGCATTAGTTAAGCCTTTATTAAGTATGGCTTATATTTGATAAAGAGATAAATTAACACTGTAACTTGTGTAATTTTTTTTTTTAGTTTAGTTAGGGTTAAATTTTACTTTATTTAATACTATCAATAAATAAACTTATGTTATTTAACAACCTAACATCATAACTTTTTATAAAATGTCTACTAAAGTATATTCACATCCATTTTTGTTTACATTTGTTGAAATGAAGTGCATTGGACAGACAAAAACGGAGTACTACTGTAATAAATTATCTAATATATTATGTTATTAAAACAAATGAATTAAAATTATTTGCTTCAAGTGATGCTATAACAATTTAGGGTTTTACTTTTATTTACAAGACCTTCAAAACACTCGTAAGTAACAGGTTTGATACTATGTTCATATACATACTTGTTTTCCATCCCACACAAAAAGCTTCGTTCCTGTTAGTATTCCTAGATCTTTGAGTACAGATGTATCTTGGGCTATCATGAAAATCAATACAAAACTGATACACAGATAAATAATACATATTAATTAAAGATGCATCAATCATTCTTTAAAGTTTAACTTATACACAGAATAATTTTACTGTCTTATAAATATAACTTTTATATTTAAAGAATGATATGTTGTAGCTTAGATTTCGAAATTAAACAGCATTAGAATTATGCATTTTTCTAATCATTGTCTCTTAAAATATATTATTCTGTAAAAATCACTTCTAACAGAACACTGAGTTATAAGTTAACAGTTACGAACTGTATTAAAAACACTAAATCCTAAACAATTACTGCTATTACACTGTAATCACTGATGCAGATGGAACATGGAATATAGAAATTACAATATTACATAATTGTACAATTGTGCACACTTTCTGCTTAAAAGATGTCAATCATTAATTACACCAGATGGAGGATGTTTTAGCAATATTATAGCATAAGCTGCGAATATAAAAGTTTCTGAAAAATCGTTCAGTCGGTGTATATTCGTCACTTTCAGTTGCCAGTAACTCATACAAAAAAACAAGATAATTAGCTAGGTTATTCAGTGACTCGTGGTCAAACTCCATTCAATATTAAATACACTTACTTATATTAATTTAAGCTATTTAAAATAAAAACTCTGAAAATCTTACACTGTGATATAACTAATATACACACACAACAACATTAACATTAGAACATTAATTAATGAATGTAAAATATGGTATAACCACCTTTTAAATAACAAACATTAAAAAAAAAGTCAGAAAGAATAAACATTAAATATATTTACTTGATTATTAGTGAATAAATAAGTTATTTAATTTTATAAGTTCTTCCTGTAAATTAAAAATGTTTGTAGATGCAAATGAATGTGAAATGTACTAAATGTGTGCAATGACTTTTAACATGTAGTTGTTATAAAATAGAATAAATAATAATGATAATAGTGGCAACAGTGCATCATAAAGAGTCATACCAAATGTCAGTTCCTCATATAAGTGTAGTCCAGCAGGAAGATCCTGAGCTACATGAATGATGAAATTAGAAGATGGACACAGTTCCTGGCTTAACTGAAAAACAAAGTATTTACTTTATAATCAAATTAAAAATGCATCCAAATACACTGACTTTTCTCTAGTTATGCCCATAAAAAATAATCAAAAGCCCTTAAAATTACAACATAATATCACACTCATAAAACAATTTCAAAATACACATCTTTTTTTTGTAAATTTCAAACACTGGTGACATTTATCCAGTTTCAAAAGAATCTGATTGTCTAGTACATTTTTGTATGCTTGCCTAATATTATGAAGAATCACTAAATGGCAAAAAAAGGAGCAAAAAAAAAGTTAAATCTTTTATCAGTATTGCAGGTTTGCATTACTTTATTCATTATTATAAAAACAAACATTAAAATATAGTAATAATAATTGTAAAATACTGTTAATATAAACTTAATCTTGCAACTGAAATAAACAAAACCTATAAAAATTGCTTATTCAATAGTTAAAAAACAATTACAAAATTAACATTCTTTCGCTAAACAACAACAATTTAATCTATAATCTGAATCCACGATGGTACACTTTGTCTCTGACACTTTGAGTCAAATAATTGTTTTTTATTGCTAATGTTGAACAGAGATGTGTTTTCCTAAGAAAAAATAACGTCTTACAAACCTCCATTATTGCAGACCGAAGACAAGTCAGTGTCTTTCTGTAGTCAATCTTAAGATCTACAACACTGAGAGCATCTTTCAATGGGTGAAGAGCCCCCTGGTGGTACTGATGATTAACACTGAAGTGAATCTGCACTGTAATAGTATTTAATGCCACTTCATAAGCCTCTCTAGAATGACAAAAGAAATACTTTCAACTGATTAAAAAAAATCAAAATCAAATAGAGATTTAGACAAAGCTAGCTTTCATCTGTCCAAAATACTTAAAACCACTGACTTCTGTAACCTTTTTTTTCATTCGACTCATTAATAGCATTTTGTGGTCTATGATGAAGATATTTTAATCTGAAAAAGTAATAGAAAGATGTCAACTGACAGATCCGGATCCAGTAAAGGAGTTTTTTTTTTATGTTGTGAGTTAGTTATTGGTTGAAGAGGGCATATGAAAGAAAACAAATGTAAACTGTCAATGCAACATATCACTAAGAAATGTTTAAGTTTCACAATACACTACAAACTTTTCTCAGGCTACTTTTACATTTCTTAACACTGGTGTCAAGTTTAAACTTCTACAGTTATTTTACAGACTAATTTACAGCTCTAGATAATGGTATAAAGTTTACAATCCTACAGATAATTTATTGGCAAATTTATACCCGCAGATACTAGCATAGTTTACAACCTTCTACAGATGTTTTAACATAACATTAAAGGACAACAATGGACCTTTTGATCCATCTAGGCTGTCATATCCACTACATTAATTCTCTCGCTACAGACTCTGTCGAATTGACAGAGTTCTTGACTCTAAATTGACCTTCATAATTTCCATACTATAAATTCTAATATTTTTTGTGTATCTTCACAAAATTATACAAACTTTCAATAACTATTAAGATCATTTGTAGACAAAAAAATCAGAATTTTTAATGAAGTATTTTCACTAAAAATTTCTGCATGAATATATGGAGTCAAAGTGTTGACTGCTCTGGGTGCAAAGTAATTTTCATGTTAAGATTAAAAATACTTTTCTTCATCTGAAAAATCTCAAATTTCATTTGTGTAACCTCTAAAAGCATCCAAATACGTTTCAAACTTTTAAAAAACCTATTTTTTTGGTTATTTTCTCTACCCTAACTCTATACAGGATTAGTCAATTTGACTGACTTCATAACCACCATAAAAAAAGTTTTTTAATCTAAGTTACCTTTTTTCTTTCTTCAAATTGTAACATGAAACAACATTTGTGTATCCTAAATAGCTTTAAAATTGTAACAGTATACATCTGTTTATAATTGAATTTTATTGTTTTATCACCCTTTGAAAAGTGACTAACTCATATTTCCTCCATAAAACTTGTAAGCTATTTGGCAAACTGCAGCTCATCTTACCCTATTGAATTACATAATGCACAAGTTACTGGAAAGTTGCTTGTAAGGGTATCACATAAAATATTTTTATTAAAACCTTAGCTTTCTGTTAGTTATAAATAAGGTAGCATTAAATGTCAGAGAGAACTACTCGTAATTTCTGAAAGAAAGGATGTGACAGGTGGGCATGGTAAGAGGGTTCTGATTTTCTATTTGATGGCTCTGTAACTAAATAGGATTGAAGGCTATAAAAATTATGCTTTGTCTGAATGATGGTAACATTAAAATGATTAATTTACATTAAATTTAGTACTTCTTGGAGGGGTGGTAAATAAATTAGGGAAGAGGGGATGCCTAGAGAGAAAATGTCACAATTCTCATACTAAGAGAAATTTGTGATCTTTTTTTAATACTGCTATATAAAATTATGAACTTAAAACTTATATGCTATTAAAATTTTATTAGCTACATTTTTATGCCAAATTTATTCATGTACCATGATAAGAAAGTAGTTTAATTAAATTCTGAATGTATCTCACTGAAAAACTTGTGGCATGCACAGTAAAAAAGATGCCTGTAGTGGAGTAGTTAAAACTAATCACTTTAAAAAAACACCTCAAAATCAGCTCTTATTATTTAAATGTTTATCAAGCTTTCCCTTAAACTTCCTTAAATTAACCGTATCCACCACATCTGAAGGAAACTCATTCCAGAGGCCAAACACCCTGTTAGAAAAATAAAGCTGTCTTAGCTGAAGATGACTTCTTCCCTGCCAAAATTTGTATTTGTGTCCCCTAGTCTTATCATTCTCACCATTAAGTGTGAAAAAATATCATGCATCAACAATATCAGTTCTCTTAGCAATCTTAAACACCTCAATCAGTTCCCCTGAAACTCTTCAAGAGAAAGCTTAACCTATCCTCATATGATAACATCTGCATCCTAAATATCTTCTTGTAGCCTTCCTCTGAACCTTTTACAACAGTTTAATGTCCTTTCTGAGGTAGGGAGTCCAAGACTGAACACAGTACTCTAAATGTGGCTTAACCAATGACCTAAACAATATTACAATCTGCCATTTATCTCCCCATCTCACCAAATAATCCAAATCCTTTTGTTAGACAGTAATAACCTCTTCACAACCAGCAACACCCAAAACCTTAATATCATCACCATTCCTTCATCTGTATTATGACATTGGGCCCTGAGGTACCCCACTTGTAACATTAATCTAGTTTGACTGAATTCCATTTATAACAACCTTCTGCTTCCTTCCATCTAGCCAGTTTTCTATCCAATGAGTCAACCTATTCTTCACACTAACACAAATAACTTTTTAACAAGTCTTTTATGTAGCACCTTGTCAAATGGGTATTTTCTATAAATCCATATGCACCACAACCACATCTGTACCCTCATCTACATAAGCATTAACCTCTTCAAAGAATGTCAAAAGATTAGTAAGACTTACAGATTAGTTTATAACTCTAAATAATGGTGTCAAGCTTACAACCCTCTACAGACACTTCATAGACAAATTTACACCTCCATACACTAGTATAATTTAATTAACCTTATACAGACTTTTCAAATCAGTGTTGGCTTGACAAAATCTTCTGTGTACAACCTAAGAATCATACATGTTCATATGACCAATATCAAAACAATCTAATTATAGAACCAGAAAGAACCCACAAAATGTTGATTCCAGAAATACTATAATATTTTGGAAACACAAGTGTTAATATATGAAACAGGTTGACTAGATAAAAAGCAACATGTTTTTATAGCAATAAAACACTTCCTATACTGCATGATTTCTAATCACACTCTTCAGAAGTTTTGTTCAGTAGGCATTCAACCTTGATACTTATCAGTTTACAAAGATAAATGTTTCAAACATTTCATACATCTGATTAATGTTTCATCAGTCAGTTCAGAAGACTGCAGGGATGAATGATTAGGACATTGTGAGCAGATCCTACCAGATGTGACCAATAAAAATCTGCCAGAACATTTACTGTGTTAAAATTATTATTATTTTTATTGTAAATTTCAGTTCTCTTACAAGAACCTTCATCATGCAAATGATTTAATCAAATATAAGTAACTCAAATAACAAAAAACCTGTAAGATCAGAAATAAATTCCAACAGAACTAAATATTATTTTATAAATATGTACTTTAAGAACAGTACATTAATAGACCATACCAAAATAATATCAATTAAAAAATTCAAAACAAGGACTTGTGCACCATAAAAGTACTGGTTAAGGATTGTAATAAAAGATATTTCATACATAAACCGGTCTATGTGTAGATGTTCCTAGTGTGTTTCTTCTGCTGTAAACACTTCCACGTTGAATAGATTATTGAGGTTAAGTTTTTTCATTTGTTTGTTATAACTGATTGTTAAAATATCAACCAACTGATATATTGTGGCCAAGAAATGACCAATCTTCAGTATTGTCCACAACACAAAATATAATATTTCAGTTCAAAGTTGTAATATATATTTTATACAAGAATCTTCAATTTAATCAATCATTTCTTGTCAAGGAAGACAATCCTTCTTCAAAGAAAATTAATTAATTACCGTTGTTTCTGCAGTTCTTCATTTTCTTGTTTTACAAGATCAATCAGTTTTTGGGGTATTAAATAACTTGGATTTCCTCTTCCTGTAAAATTTAAAAAAATGCATTAATTCTGACAATTTAGCAAAACAAAACAACATTTGAAATTTAGATTTATAAACATTTTTTTTTTCATCAATAAACACAAGAGGGAGTTAAAACTGGCCTTATGTTTCTATTGTATAAAAACGTTTTTTTTTAATGTAATATATGCATATGCTTGTATGTTGTTAAGAGAAAGTTCAGTTTTCTCCTTTCTATACTGAAATTTTAAATCTTCAAAGTAGTTTTCTCGAAGTAACAAATAAACAATCCTAAACTGTATAAAATAAGCCACAAAGTAATAATAAGCAACAGTGAATGCAGCATTAGAACTGAAATTTGTCTTATCAAATGAACAGTTTATCTGTAGAATAATTACTCCAGAATTTGTCCAAGCTGTTCAATGATGATATTTGAGAAATCATTTTCATAATTACTTTTTATTAAATACTAAATTAAACACTCATTTCACTATTAGCATGGTTTCTTTGTTTAAGGCAAGCTTCTAAGGCCATACCACTGTCCTTAATTTTGGACTGCTAACCACAGGGAAGGCAATGGACTGGCAGCACCCACCATCAACTCTTGTAGTACTCTTTACCAATGATAAGAATATTGACCCTCACATTATAAGGCTGAAAAGGTGAGCATGTTTGGCAATGTTTTGGATACTGTGACCTGCAGATTGCAGGTTGAGCACTCTAACCACCAGGGCATGCGCTGTTATAGCATGGCTGGTTTTAGGAAGATGTTAATACTTTGTTTTTCCTACACAGACAATGACAGACATTTAAGCATTCTTCAGAAACTTGAAACTTTTATCATATACTTCTTGTTGTTGTCATGTCCACATTTCCCTATATGGTTTCCATCCAGTGCTGACTGCATGTTCACTGGATACAGCGAGGTCTTCTGCTGGAGTTGTAGGCAGACAAGTAGATGTTGCATCATCTGCCTCTCACCATATTCAGCGGGTCTGCTGGAGTACCCCATTTCACCATTTTGGCTCTAGACCCTACAACCTGGGATCATATGTAATTAAGGGCTTCCAGGCTTTTTCCACTCCTCTGGGGAGATGCTTAGCTGGTGTGATGCCCGTGCTTGTGTGTGAAAGCTCTCAGAGGCAGAGTCTCTGTAGTGTCCAGTGGTTCAGTTGACCCGCAGAAACTATTCAGTGATATTAGGTGCTTCTTTACTTCCACATGGCCGTATACAGGGCGTTTACTGTCTTATGTCTTCCAAGTTTGCTCTGCTCTGCTAGTGACTGTTCTCCTAATGTCTGGTAAGGTAACTCCAGGCGTTGAGCATTCCCAAACCAGACAAACTTACTCAGCATAGGAGTAGCAGCTTTCAAGTACTGAGATCCTGATGGTTGTTGGATCAGCCCCTCCCCTTCCATTTCCTGCTGATGAGTTTCTTAATGATGTTGTTCCAGGAGCTAACTTTGTCTTTCTGATGTGTTCTTTGTAAGTCAGGATTTGGTCAAGCCTCTCTCCAAGGAACATAGGATATGGGCCCAAGTCCATTTATGTGCCACTCCATTCGATGTTCAGCTGTCTACTTCCTGGTTTAGCAAGTAAAAGAGGTTGACCTGCATCTTCCCGGGGTTTGGTCAGAAATGGTTGGTAATGTAGTATTTAGTCAGCCCAGCTAGTGCTTCATACAGGGTTTTTTCAATTTGGGTGAGGTTTCTGGCTTTCATGACAATAAAAAGTTCATCAGCATAGGTGAAACTGCATATGTTAGGACAAATGGGCTGGTCATTCATGTAGATGTTGAATGGGGTAGAAGCTAGGATGCTCCCCTGTGGTAGACCATTCCATTGTAGTTTTCTGTTAGGGTTTGGATCATGCAGACGAGTTAGTGGTCTTTCATCATGTAACAGATTTTCATTGTGTCATATGTTGCCAAGAGGTTGATGAATATGGTACTAGTTATCTTTTTATTTCCAAAGCCATCTTCGATATACTGTGTGAGGTTGAGATCCTGATCCATGCATAATTTGCTGGATTGGAATCCAGTCCGCTCCAAGATGAGCTTCTTATCAATGATTGGGGTCAATCAGTTTAGAATCAGGCGTTCATACATTTTGTATAGATAGCACAGAAACGAGATAGGCCTGATATTTTTGGCTCTGATTGGTCTTTTCAGGGTTTCAAGATGGCTATGACATGTGTTTTCCTCCAGATCTTTGGTGTGTGGTGTGTCTGTGTGAATAAGTTGAAAAGTGTCAGAGGCCAGTCCATTGTTACTGTCCAAATTCCTTAATCTGCTCAGTACAGATGTCATCGAGTCTAGCAACTTTGCAGTTTTTCCTTCAATCCTTCCATCGTAAATTCATGTTCAAACATGTTCTCTTCTTGTCATTTGAGTTTTTTCTCTGTTGCTTGTTTGGTAGTTTCCCATTCTACAGCAACTGATGTGCTACTTGGTCTGCTGTTACATTGTAGTTCTGCTTTCTTTGGGTCATTACTTAGTTTCTGATTATGGTTCAGGTTTTCTTGCTGTTGTACATCATTTCTGTGTTTTCAATCAGCGTTTGCCATGTCTTTCATTGTTCTTCTTCAAGGCCAGCAGAAAACTCTTCACTTGCTACGATGATGTCCTCAGTAAATAGGTCTACTTTGTACATTTGCAAATACTCTTTATAAAGTCTTGGCAGCTCAGGAGTGAGCCCTGGGACGTTGCTCATTCTGCATCTGCATGGGATGTGTATTCTGGCAGCAGTATGTACTGCTTTCATGAATAAATCATAGTTGTCAGGTGTTTGTTCAATAGTTTCCATTTCTAGATTCAATGTCCACAGAGAACTTGTCCCATTTAATTTTTTTTAAAGTTGAGTTGATGTTGATATGTTATAGTCTTTTGTGCTTCAGCAGACTTAACGTGGATGGCAATAAGTCAGTGTTCTGAGTGTAGAATCAGGCTCTGTACCATCTAGCAGCATGCACAGTCCTGCAATGTTGTCATTGACAAAAGTAACATCTGGGTTGTAGCCTCGTTTACAGTGTCTGCTACTAAAGGAAGATGGGAATATTGGGTTGTGGATCTAACTCAAGTGGTTTGCATCAGCCCAAATTTCTATGAGCTTGCCATCTTAGTTTGTTTTGCTGTACACCCAAGTGACACTATGGCTGTTGAAAACTCCAATCATTACATTGGTTTTGCTGTTACTTTATGTCATTCGATTTTGGAATTCAAATATATTGTTGGATGGTTTGTAGATGGATATGATTGTTGTTTGGCCAATGTTGACACTCACAATTTCTATATCAATGGTATCCATCAGTAAAGTCAAATCAATCGTGAGGTCCGGTCTGATGAAAATTGTGCTACCAAACTCTTCATGTGGTTCTTCAGTAGCTAGCTTCATACACAGAATCCATGGTCAATTGTTTGCGAGTTCTCGGTATGTTTCTTGAAGACAGAGGATGTGGCAGCTCTGTTATTGGCATATCTTGACAATAATGTCCTTCTTGGTTGAAGAGAACCCCTCAACACTGGCACATATAATTGTAAGTGCCAGCCCTGACAAAGGCCCACTTCCTGTTGACATTAACATCTGTGTCGTAGTGGATTATGATTCCCAGGGCTGTGATGTGGATGCACTTGTAACGACCCCTTATCTTAAACTGATATATAATTAGCTTCATCTTATAAAGTAATGGATTCATTAGCTAATATTTCTTACTCAGAATGTTCACACACATATATAAGTCAAGTATTTAATATTCCTTTATTTTCTTAAAACTTTGCAACAAATTATTAGTTTAATAACACAGTTTATACCTTCTAAAGGCCTTTGTAAAGACTTTCTTCTGTAAAACAGCATGTATGCACTCTCTCTTCCACTAAACTGCTTTTCAATGTCTCTGACATAAATTGGAGACACTCTAGAGTCATTAAAGTCGAACCAGTTATGGCCAAACTTTTGGTTCATGTTCCTAAAACAAGAAAAAAAAATCATCCTGAATACACAATAGTCAACTAGTGGTTCACAACATTTATAATTTGTCATTGTATATTATGTAAATGTAACTAGACTAAAATTTCAAGCAAAAAAAATATATGTTGGTATTTTGCCTTTAATTGTCCAAGCCAACAAGTCATTGGCTATGTTTTTAACCTAGACATTTCTAGAAATCTGAACTGTTGTTTAACCAGTGAGAAGTTTAATGTAGTTGATGTGCTTGGCCTTAATGACTGGTACCTTCTTGAAAGTTTAGGAAACAATTTGAGCCATATATGAAAAGCAAGTTAGGCTAGATTGAATTACTGAATGAGTCTGTTAATCAGATAATTAGTAATCAGCACATGAATTAATCAGTTGGTCACTTTACCCAATTAGTTCAGTGTCGCAAATGTTCAGTGAGTGTTTCTAAGGGGAAAACAAGGGTCCACAAGTGGAATTTCTGTTAGATGTAGTTTATTTATGAAGTTAGGCTTATTGGTGAATATTGGTTATGCTAAACATGAAACTTGAAGACATTTTTTCTTATTAAATGGACTATACTTTCCATCATTCTTTTTTAACCAAATAATCTAAAAGAATCCATACAACAATAGAAATCAAAACCATACTATTAAAGTAATCCTAAATTATGTTGATAATATTGTTTAACAAAGTACACACAAAGTTACTTAAACTAGTTTAAAGGCATTACACAGAAAATGTGCTATATTCAATAAACTTGCTAGTTTTCATATTATACCTTGAGAAGGTTTATAATCAGGTTATATTGCTAATTTTTAAGATTCATTTTTAACTATTTAAAATAATCTGAAACAAATTAACAATATTATTTGAGCTGATTTGCTAACTTAGATTCAAATCACTTCCCTGAAAGCTTTACCAGCATGTCCATGTCTGATTTTTCTGTTAAATAATTCTCTTTAATAGTGTAATCCATTTTGAAAGCTGTCAGCTAATTTCTTTTATAAATTATTTGGGTGACAAACAAGTTATTCTCATTTTATGTTGATAAGGTTAAGTCAGCTTAAAACAGAAGCTAAAAACAAACCAAATCCCAATGGTGTTTGTGCATCACAGTAAAACTGAGCAACTAGGAACACATTTTTAGGAAATACTTAATGAAATGTTTTGTGTACTTGAAATCAAATACAATACGTGTTTATTTTGAAATAATATTATTAAATATTTCTAAAAAGTACCTGTTATATTATTAGACAGTTATTAATCATTAATTCCATTCATCCCTTTCATGCTTACTTCTTTTTCTGGATATTACTAAAACAACCCACTTGGCTGTAGCAGGCATGAGTAGGAGAATTAAATTGATCTAGTTGAAATGTATTTCCTGAACCTGATTGAGCTGCCTTCTCTGGAACTGTGGATAACTGTTTTGAATCAAGTGAGATCCCATCCTTCAAATATACAATGTTAGTTGACTGGTTCAGGAAAAAAACGTCATTATGCTTCAACAGAAACTGAAAAAAAAAAAAACAAGAGAAAAACTACAAATTATTCCTTAAATTTCATGCACTAAAAAACATTTGTTTTTATCAGATAAAACTAAAAGTACACTACTGAATTTTTCAAATTTAATTGTTTGCAGACAGTATATTTTTTGTTTAACAGGTATAATCATACAATTATAATTTATCTGAAATGTTTTACATACTTAATCCACTATTTAGAGCCTATGATGTCATTTTGATCTACTATAACAAATATTCCAAGTAAAGCTTCTACTATAAACAAAATACAAAAATTTCCCTATTTTGGTCTGAAGAAGGCCTGTACTAGCAGTCCAAAACGTTTGTTCCAAAAAACAGGGTTCTCACTAGGGTCCCACAGTGAAGGGTCCCAGACTCTCAACTCAAAAAATAGAAACAAAAGCACTTCATTGTCAATGAAAAACTTTTTTTTACAATGTGCACTACATATTTATTTTCTACAAATGGAAATGAGCAAGTTAATATTCAATAAACACTTTATTTACAATTTACACTGCATGTTGTTTCCCTTTATGACTTTTTTATCAGTGTTAAAGAAGTTAGGTGCACTTTCGTTCTCAACCCAAAACTATTATTTATAATGTACACTACATGTTGGTTACCCTCCGCAAGTGCTAAAATAGGGAAATATGCGATAGGATAAAATGAACAGCTTTTCCAATAAACATGAAAATATCTTCTTCTGTTTTTAAGGTATCATTATTCAATAGTGACTACTTGATTTCTTGTTTTCCCTTATGATTTGTTTTGGTCCAATTATCGTGTTGTTTATAAACAAATTATTGTAAGAATGTGCTTGTGTATAAACTACTGAACTTTGATATCTTACAAATTATTTTCAAGCGGAAAATAAACACCTTGAAGATTTTAAAATTAAAACTACTTGTCATTTGTCTCTAATATATTTGCATCACCCAAGGAATATGAAAACACTGTTTATAACAGACAAGATTTTATATTGCTTTTGAGGGATAATATTTAACTCTATGTGAGGTCATTCAAATTAACTGACCTCATAACCACCATAAAAATCAGGAAATAATTCTAAATTCCCCTATTTTCTTTCTGGAATGACTGCAAATTACAACAGAAAACCACAATTGTTTATCCTAAGTAGCTTAAAGCTTGTAACAGCATATACCTAATTATACTTAAATTGTATTATTTTATTAGCATTTGAACTATGTCTAATATTCTTGCCATATAAATTGCAAATCACGTGAGGAACATGCAGATCACATTACTGTATCAAATTACATAATGCATGGACTACTTGTGAGTGTACCTCATAAAAATTCTTAATATTAATGTTTATTTTACTTTATCTAACCTAAAATGTTTTCAATTTTAGTTACATTTATAAAAATAAATGAAGAATACATATGAAAAACAAGAAATAAACTACTTACCTGAAACTTCTTTATTTTGCTGTCAACTGTTGATGAAACTTAACCCTACTTTTTTTATACTAATGGTACTACTGCATTAAATAATGCACTAAAGAACACAGAATAATAACATGCAAAAATGAAACAATGTTCAATAACTATCACAATTTTTGGCAACAAAAGGCATTAAAAATTCAGCTAAGCTCATCGACATGTCTCCCATGGGAATAAAGTTTGAACCAGAAGGAAAATACAAAATTCTCTGTACAGAAAACAACATAATATAATACGTCATTTGATATAGAAAACTTTGGCTTTCTACTGGTTATAAATAATATAATCTTAAATGTCAGAGAGAACTATTAGCAAGTTGTGAAAAAGAGGATGTGACAGATGGGCATGGTAAGAGGGGGTCTGATTTTCTATTTTACTGCTTTGTAACTAAATAAGATTGAAGGCTATGTAAATTATGCTTTGCCTGAGGGATGAAAATATTATTATTATTACATGTTTTACAATAACTCCTGTATGCTGAATCTGAAAAATGATATCCATTTTTCTCCAGCATGTACAGATTTTTCACAAAACATCATATGTAATTTTACATAAATGAACCATTTTCAGTGAAACCAGGTCATGTTTTGTCATGCTTAAAATGTTGACAACCACTGGCTATAGATTTCTCTAGAGCAATCTTGATGTGAGAATCTTGTCAATCATTCTAGAACCCAAGAGAAACACATCACTAGCATATAAACGGTTAACAGGCTGCATGACGTGTCATTTCTGGATAGCATTTGTTTGTCTTTTCAATATTATTTATTCATTGCTATGGCAACAAGAGATTGTGTGAATGACCCAAACATATTTGTGGTAAATTTGTTGTAAATTTCATCTAAAGAAGTTTTTTTCTTCCTGATTTGTAAAAAATCCTAACGTGATAGAAAAATATATATATATTATTTTCGAAATATGCATATCTGAATTATGGAAAATCCATTATTAAAATCAATCATTAACTTTTATGAGGTTTAAACTCACAGGCCTGTGATATTAACATGCACTTTAAATTCCATAAATTTCAGGGTTGAAATTAAGTGGTCGTGGTACCCATATCCCATGTTGATGGCTACGGCTATTGGACCATAATGTTATATATATACTTTTGAGTGGATCCCAACCTGCACCACCGGAATCAAGAAGAGAAAGTAAGCAACTCCAAAGAGGACAAACTTTCTCCTCCACCTGAAGAAGTCCAAAAGGCAACACCCCAGCCTCGGAATGATGGGATCGTGTATGCTGCACTCAACCAAAAGAACAGAACTCATCCAGTATGGAAGTGGTAGAGGTAGACATTCCTGCAGATACTGAAGAAGTGGAAAACACGTTTGAGCTGGCCCATATGGTGCAACTAAGAGAACTCAACAGGGAGTGGAACGAACCATACTCAGAACCCAGGGCAATAGCTGAATTGGGGAAAAGTCATACAGATGTAAACCTGTCCAGTCCTGACTGAATGCATTTACTGCCGATGCTTGAGAATTAGGTACCGGAAGCCAAAACAACTGCAGTTGATAATTCCAATGAGTCACAAAGGTATCAATTGTTAGAGACCTGAACTGAGAGCAAATCCACTGAAAAACCTTGTGATGTAGCATCCATTCCGTTGGAAGAATCCGGTTAGGTCGAGACAAGTGATCTGCAATTAAATTCATTACTCCTGGAATAAGACTTGCTAAAAGACTGATATGATGGGAAAGAGTCCAGTAGAGAAAATACAAGATACGAAAAAAAGGTCTCGAGAATGTGTGCCTCCTTGACAAGAAATCTGATAAACAACCGTGGAATTGTCGGGAATGTATCATAACAATTTTCCTTTCAAGAGAGTCAGACCTTGAACCATTGCCCGGTGTACTGCAAGGAGTTCAAGAACATTGATATGGAGGGTAGACTCCTCTTCCATCCAAATACCCTGGAACTCCTGACCTTGAAGATAAGATCTCCACCCCTGAAGAGATGGGTCTGTGTACAGATGGATTTTGGAACATGGTGGTGGAATGGGTACCCCAATAGCAGTGTTGTTCCAATCCAACCATTCAAAATCGACAATGTTGCTCCTGAGTAATGAGACAGGATGATCCAGAGGACTGAATGCATGATCCATTGGTCACGCAGTAGCCACTGAAGGGACCTCATATGTGCTCATCCAAAAGGAATGAAAGACACGAGAGATGATCATATCCCCAAGAGAGAGAGAGAACCATCCACAAAGTAGGAGAAGGAGACATAAGTAAAAGCTTGACAGCTCTTTACATGGCTTGAAGCCTGATGGGTGTTGGTTGAGCACAACTTAAATGAGTACTGAAAAACACACTCAGATGGAAAAGATATAGCATCGGTGACAGAATAAATTTCTCCAGTCTGATAAGGAAGCCCACTTTTGTGGTTTCTGAAAGGAGAATCTGAGAGTGTTGTTCTGCTAATTGACGCGATGGTGCCAGAAGGAGCCAGTCATCCATATAATGATTTGTGCACAGGCCCAAGGAATGCAGATGATGAGAAAAAAGCTCAAACAACTCTGCAGAAAACATAAGATGCTCATGCAAGACCAAAAGGAAGAGTCCTGAACTGCAGCACCTGACCATTGTGCACAAATCTGAGAAAACTCCAGGAAGATTCTGCTATGAGAAAATGGAGATAAGCATCACTAACATCGAACTTGGTCATCCAGAGCCCTGGCATAAAGTGCCATTGTAGGTGAGAAAAGATTCCATAGTAAAGCAAGGAGGATCTAAAAATTGGTTGAGTCGAGACAGATCGATGATTGGACACCAATCTTCTGTCTTCTTGGGTACAACGAATAAATGGGATTGACCCTCTCTACTGCCCTTTTGACTAACAACTCTCTTATGGCCTGGGAATGAAGCTCCACTCACAGCAAGTCTCCTAGCATGAACAGCAATGTCAGGAGAAGGAGGAAACACCATATAGTCACTTTCCGTCGTTTCTGCCAACAGGGAAGGAGTAGAGTCAAATGCAATAGGAGAGACCTCCAAACCTCACAAACCCGAGTAACCAACTGAAGAAAAGGGGATGGAGGTGGCTGATCATGATGATCCTCTGTTGAGGCTGTTCTAGTAAAAAGAGGAGCCAGAAAAAGCGAGTCTAAATTCTCCCCAGCTGGTCTCCGGTTATTTGCAAAAACCACCTTAGAACCCCCCAGAGAGACACCCTCGGTCCAAATATATGTCTTCCTCTCACAACGAATCATACTATGGACATCTTTAACTGAGAGTGACCCCCTCCCCTGACCATTGACAAACACCAGATAGCAGAGGTGGAAGAGAAGATGTCTGGTTGGCCTCCGTAGTAGAAACATCAACTCAGGAATTCATACTCGTTAGCACATTTTTTTTGTTTTGTTTTTTAAGTAATTTATAAATATAAACAAAGATTTAACCATAGTAATGCCAACTACATTCAAAGTTACGATGTAAATTGAGAATAATCACAACACTCCTGTTTACAGAAATCCATGCCAAATGCTTTCTTTGGAAAAAGTGATTACATTAACTGAATTAGGTGCTTATATACAGTGCCTAGATGGATGGCGCATTGAAATTGGTAGAGAAATTTGCAAATAAGAATTTGCCAAGGGCATTTGAGTGGGGTATAAAAGACTGGAGCAAGCATTTTCAATGCTGAGATGGGCAAAGAGTGGAAACCCTAGGGATCGAGAAATAGCAATGGTGTCCGAAGAAGTAAGTATGTTTTGGAATTATAATTGTGCCATACAAACATGGTATTTATTTTAATGTTTAAAATAGAATGTTTGTGTTCTAGACCAAAAGAAATTATAAAGTGACCATATTAAATAAGTATATCAGGGATAAAAATAATTACTGTTAGTTACAAGACGAAGTGAAATTGAACAGAAAATTTTCCTTTACTCACCTGAAGTTGCATTTCTCCTTGTGGCAAGTCTTTAAAACTTCCGTTTTGTAAAAGTTAGTGCCCAGAGTTGATATATCTTCACGACAGTTTGTTATATTAAAAAAATTCTTTTTTTTTTCAAACCAATTATCTGCTCATTTTAAACAGTGGCAAACACTGATGGGTTTCAAAGGGGTCACTAAAAAATTTATTCATCATATAATTTTATAAAATAAAGGCTAAAACCAGTACAAAATCCTGGACCAACACTGAAAGCTACAAAGATTTAAATAAATATGAAACATAATAATGAAAACATGATAAAATTAACTCATTATCTTAGAGCTACTCACTTGATGAAATGAAATTAGGAAACAAATTTCACTTTTGCTCCACAATAGACGAGTATGGATTCATGTCAGAAAAAAAATGCCTTTCTTCCTAGTCTCTACAGTCGCTTATAAATTCAATCGAAGGAAGAAGGGTTTTAATGAATATCACAATGTGTTATGCTGTCATTTGTGTGATTTTATATTGGTAACAGAGATGTGTGTTGTACATAAAAAATTTGTGATTTTAGTTAAACTCAATTGAATCTCAGAATTCTCCAATATATATATGATTGTCAGATATGGGGGAAATAGGATAGTTTTAATAAAGTACAGTGCAGAGTATTTTATATTTTACAAGTGTATTGTAGTTATGTAATTTTTTACATGTATTGTTGAATATTAGAATACATTTAATACCTTTAGAAAATCACAAATCTAAAAAACACACCTTGCTAATGGGACCATACTGTCTTTTAAACCTTTTATTCCACGAAACACCGCTCTGCTTCACCAGCTCCTAAAATAAAGGTCAATAAAATATTAGAACAAGACTTTCAATAATATTTTCATACATCAAAACTAGTAAGCTTGCAAAGAAAATATAATTTAAAACAGTTTTGCTGAGAAAATATCTACACAAGTACAATTTTAAATTACAAAGAAAAAAAACAGAACATTGCATTTTCATTTCCATATGATAGACTATTCAAAATGAAACTCAAAACTGATAAGATTCTGCACCATTGTTCAAGCAAGTTGAAGTAATTTTTTGATATACGAATGGCTAATAATCAATTCAAAAACTAATTCTGATATATTTATGGTAAAAATTAAAATTATTGATCAGTCCTGAATGATTCCAGTTTACCTTACTGCAAAAATAAACAATAATAGCATTTTATTTAACTACATAACCCTCTTCCTCAGATTCAAACGCACATTGAGTCACTGAGTTGGTATGTTTTGTACATTTGTTTCTTGTTAAGCACAAAGCTACAACACGTGCTATCTGTGCTGTGTTCACTACAGGTATTGAAACCAAATTTTTAGCACTGTAAGCCTTCTGACTTACTGCTAAGACAATGGGGCCTGAGATACTAAGACAAAAAAGTTTCATCTGAAAAGAATAAAGCTTTAAACTCAATTGGGCCAAATATCATTAAAAAAGAAAAATTCTCATACCATTCTGCCACCAAATATAAAGCTGTAGCAAAAGTTTACTGTGATATAAAGTTGTGGAGTAAGTCATCTTTGCCACAGCTACAGAGTGCAAATTTTGGAAGACCTGTTGTAGTATTAAACATCAGATATGATACTAGACTAAAAATTAATAGGCAAAGTTATGTCAATGATAAATAGCGATACAAATAGTTAATAGAGCTATCAAAGTACACATACTTTAAAGAGTATCTACTGGAAAAGCTCTACACAAATCAATCAAGTTCTCTGAGAATGGTTAAATCAGAGAAAACTGATACTCTAATTATCCTGGAAAAAACAGCATGGTAGCTGTAAACAGAATACTAATGTAATCTACCAGATGAGCTGTCCATGGAAAACCAATAAGAAGAATATGCAAAAAGATGCATGACGTTGAAGACTAGCAATCAAACAGAGATAATTATACTAAATAAAACTATAACCTTAAGCTTTCTGGTGATTATTTAAATCAATTCAAATATTACATTACATACCCTCATAGAAGCTTCTTTTAAACAGAAAAGGGATATCAGTGAACCTTTCAATGTGGAATCTCAACTCCATAAATAAAACCCCATGTAAATGTACACCGTAAAAGACCGAAACAAAAATGTTGCATCAGAATAACAATTAACTGCTGTGGATATGGAAACAGAGGAAAGAAGGTTATTTGCATTAAAGCAAAGACAAATTTTTAAGTTACAAGGTGTTTATTAGAGCATCTTAGCAAGCACTCCAGTGATAAAGAAGATATAGCATGCTACAAACCTTTCCAGTGGTCACCAATTAATTTTCAAAGTCATATGATTCAATTATTAAAAGATTATGAAGTGGTTAATAAAAGTGATTTTCAATATAGGAGAAAAGGTAACATCTTCTAATCTTTTCCAGTGGGTAGCATACATAAAGTAAACCTTTTTTTTTATTATTAAAAACAAAAGAATTGGCAACTGTCATTGCTTAATTAGAAGTTGTACAGTTGTAAATGAAGAACACTGAAAACAAATTGACATCTTGATAAAAATAAGAGAGAAATATTGTGAAAAACTAATACAATTATAATAGAGCAGAAAAAACAGGAATGGCAGAGAGAAAACTGACACCTTCATGATAGATGAGAGGAGAAAGGAATACCTGAGAAAACACTGACACCTTCCTGAAAGATTAGAAGAAAGAGGAATGGCAGAGAAAACCTGACACCCTAATGGTAGGCCAGTAGAGAAAGGAACTACAGAAAACACTGACAGATTACAAGAAAAAAGGAATGGCAAAGAAAACTGACACCTTCATGATAGATGAGAAGAGAAAGTAATACTTGAGTAAACACTGACACCTTCCTGAAAGATTTGAAGAAAGACGAATGGCAGAGAAAACCTGACACCTTAATGATAGGCCAGTAGAGAAAGGAACTACAGAAAACACTGACAGATTACAAGAAAAAGGAAATGGCAAAGAAAACTGACACATTCCTGATAGATTAGAAAAGGCAAATACTAAAAAAAAAAAAAACATATTTCTGGTAAAATAAAACAGGGAGTAATTCTGAGAAAAAAGACAGCTCTCACTTTTCTCATTCACCAGAGAAGAAACTTTCCATTGTAGTTATCACAAAAAAAATAAGGACTGGAAAGCCTAAGTCACATTAAATTATATACATCAAGAAAAGAAACTTGGACATGTCAAAGAATAAGTGGACAGCATATTTTATGTATTTCAAATATCATGTGATATCTTCATTTCATATACTTCTTGTCATTATATTTGTCAGAAGATTCCTTTAACAACTAACACGATGTTACTATATCTAAAGAAAAACAGAAAGATGTGGAGAAGTTTCCTGAAGTTTTCTAGTATTTAGCATTTAAACCGTAACTTTTAATACTTTTTTAAGTATCATACTGTACTTAATCATACAGCCTTACTGATAAATTCTAGTATTGAATGAAGAACTTCTTGGGCAGTGACTTGTGGAAGACAAACGAAAGATCTGAAATACTATTTTTTACACACCTCTGATTTCAATCTGCAGTGGACAAACTTAGAGGAATGTGGAAAAACAAACATATGTAGTTAACTTGTTTTTGCAACAACTCTAAGGCCTATTGGTTTTTCCAATATTTCACTGGCTTTTAATGTTTAAACTGTACTATATAGCTTTGTTTTATGAATTTTATATTTCAAAATAAATTGTGAGTGAGCTAGTTACTTTAGTGGTGTAAGTGATTTATAGAAACAATGGCTACCCATTCCCAAAATTTCAAACTGGTGCAGTAATAAAATCATAAAATGATTCCAGAAAGAAAGTCTTCAACTTTTTATTCCACACATATGCTTTTTTTTTATGCAGGAGCCAAGATAATATTTATCTACTTGCACATTAAGATCAAAATTCACAGGTTTACTATGCCAGTCTTAGGTTTTGAAAATTCATCAATAAGATCATTGTATCTTATTCTAAAGGTGATATTGTTTTTGAGTAAATAAATATAGAGGTTATTCTGATTTTCCTGATTAACTGTAGACTGGAGGTAAGGGTTGATAAGCTTAGTTTTGAGAACCTTTGTATGTAACAACAGAAACAGGCATTACACAGAACTGAGCAATACAGTCCCCACAATTCTCTGCTTAATTAACAAAACAAATACACTCAGGCATATAAATTTTAGGTATCACTTGCATTATTCTTACTTTTTGCTGTATTGCTATACATTACACAGCTTGAAATCAGACTGTGAGAAAGGCCAACTATGGGCATGTAAAGTCTATTATCTGCACAATATGACCTTTAGGAATTACCTATCCACTATTCATAGACTTCAAGCCAGTGATAGAAGTGACAATTACTGAAGAAATAAGAACAACTTTATAGCAATGCCACTGAGTGCCTGTGCTCTGCAACACATAAGTAAAGGTTTCATGTCTCTTCCAATGATTGACGAGTTTATATATGAAGAATCAAAGGTAAATGACATAATCAGTTTAATGTTACTGAATATAACCATTTTACAAACAGTTTAGTTACAGTGTAGAGAAGCATCAGCAAGAATTTGTATATAGATCTTGTTTGTTTGTTTGTTTTGAATTTCGTGCAAAGCTACACAAGGGCTATCTTCTAAACTAGCCATCCCTAATTTGGTAGTAAAAGACTAGAGGGAAAGCAGTTAGTCATCACCACCCACCACAAACTCTTGGGCTACTCTTTTACCAAAGAATAGTGGGATTGACCATCACATTATATCACCCCCATTGCTGAAAGGG